CCGGAGCGACGCTCCACCAGTCAGGACCCCAGGGAGCAGGTACATGCAGCAAGTCCCACCCCCTGCGAACTGATTTAACCAGGATTCTGACATTGCCTACTCTACAGATGTGTTTTTCTCTAGAACATGCCTGTGTCTATCTGCCAGTTCTGCTGCTTGTCTTATGTTGATTGCCTTTTCCAGTGTCATGTCATTTCTCCTAATTAACGCTCATAGTTTTTCTTTTTAATATTTGACCTCCAAACTTGATCTTTAATAATGGAATCTGTTAATCCTCCATATTCACAGCGCTGACTTCTTCATTTAAGGAATATAACACAATCATCCACCTTTTTCTTCCTCTTTTGAATTCTCAGCCTGAAAATATACCTTTCAAAAGCAATGTGGAGGCTGTGCTGTACACGTGGACGTGCACGTGCATGCACACAAAAACACACACAGAGTGAATATACCTTTCAAAAGCAATGTGGAGGCTATGCTGTACACGTGCACGTGCATGTGCATGTGCATGCACACAAAAACACACACAGAGTACCTGTTGCTGCCAGCATTTTCTATGGAAGGGCAACTTCATTTCTTATTTTTAGGAAGGAACACAAAGCATCTTTTAAGGGGTTCTGGTTTAGATTGCACCTGGTGTACTGTGCTGAGCTTGTAAATGATGTGAATATACTATCAGTTACCCCGTCATGTTTTTTATGGTTTTCTTTATTGTTTTTATTCATTCTCTGAGATTTCCAACAGCTTGTGCCTTCCAGTCTTAGAAACATGTGTTATCTTCTTAAAGGGAGAATCCAGTTAAGAACAAACACTAAAATAGGAAACAGTGGGAGAAAATGGAAGCAATTATCTTGGTATGTGGTTGCCTTGAGTCAACTTCTCTGAGCAACTGCCAGTGCAATCCTAAAAACAGTGCAATCCTAAAATCAAGCCCCATTATATAGACCTGATTGGATTCTGAGTACTCCTCATCAGAATAGCACTATGTCTTTCTGAATTTTAATAAGGATAAAAAAGTAATTTTTTGTAGTTGAGACTCACTACTTAGGGTTTCTGTGAAACTTTGCTGTCTGCCCATGCACCATGCACCATGTTTGCCCATGCTGTGAAGCTTTGCTGTCTGCCCATGCACCCAGCTAATATTGCAATCAGTCCCGGTCCATTACTTGCTTCAAAACAAGCTTAGAGTGAGTCACTGGCTTGGATCCAGAATAGACGTTTCCACAAGCACAAGGACTTCCACCCACAGCACATGGTTTTCCCTGTTCCCCTGTTCCACAGCAGCCTGAAATAACCTCAAAATCCTGTTTCTGGGGAAGGAGAGATCTCCAGGAACAGAATTTTGTGAGAGACATTTCAGGCTGCTGCGGGAGAGGGTAAATAAAAAACGCACTCCACAGGTAGAAGTCTTTGCACATACTGAAATGTTTGTCCTTATCCAACCCATCATTTACAATGGGTTGGATCTGTGGAACTCACAGAAGGGATCTCAGCTCCTGCTGCTGCTTTCTTTTTCCAGCTCCTGCTGCTGCTGACTGTCTGGGGACCTGTGGGAACAAAGATGGATGTAGTGTGGGGATTGAAGGGGGAATTGACTGCCCCCACCCTTCTGAAGAGTATGACTTATTTTCCTTAAGATTTCCCTGTCTCTAAAAATGTGTGCGTGTGCTGCTTTTGGGAGACTCCTGTCAAAGAACGTTTTCCTGCAAGGGAAAGGGGGGGGGGAAGGGGCTCTCTCTCTGTCTGACAGCCTATCAGTCTGTGATATTTCTCAGTGTTGAAAAAGAAGAGCTGTCATTGGCTGCCTTTGAACTGACAGTCTGCAATTGGCTGAATGAGTGTGTGGCCCTCCCTCCTCCCCCTTCCAGCAGGCTGTGTGCAGCCGCTGTCTCTCTCACTCTGCCTGCTAGGAACATGCACAGTCTCTTACCGGCAGACAGTTTTTGCTTGTAAAACTCTCAATTGCGTGCTTTTTAGGGGGGCTGGGTTTGGAGGGGGGCCTCTGGTATGTTAAAACTCTTGTTTTTAAAGGGGGAATCTCTCTCTCTCTCTCTCTCTGTGATATAGCTTTTCATCTATTGCTAGAACTGGGGGGTGCTTGCTTGCGGTGTGTGTGTGTGTGCACGTTTCAAGTTTTCCCTCTGTGGGGCAGGGGAAACGTTTGCAGAAAGAGGGAGGACTCTGTTAAAGTTTTGGGCTCTGTTTCAGCTTTTTTCCTGTGTGTGTGGGGGGGGCTAGGGCTCTGCCTCTCTGCCTGGCTCCTTATCAGCTCCTGGCAGAACAGGACCTCTCCCACAGGGGCCGATACTGCACAGTAGGACTTTTTAAAGGGACACTTTGTTCCCCTTTGCCGCAAACCAGCTGCTTTTTGCTCTGTGGGGCTTACAGAGGGGTGGGGTGGAGGTCCCCTGGCTCTGTCTCGGTGGGGCTGGGGCTCCACAGGGGGTCCTGCACTAAAACTGTGCTAATGTCTGGCTCTGGGGCTTACAGAGGGTGGTTGGGCATGTCTGTAAAGAGTAGAACTTTTTACCTCTCACTCTCTGTGAGGAGGGGGACATCTCTCTGGGGTGGGGGCTCTCAGGAGCTGTCCAAGAGACCCTGGAGGGACAGTCTGCACTAAGCAGGGCACAAATCTAAGACAATGGCCTCATACAATGTTAGCACAAGCATTGTACAGTTTTCACACATTCACAGCAAAAAGCCAGCACTCTAAAACAAACTAAGTTTTTACACATGTCTCAGCCCCCCTCCCAGTTTCAAAGCATTCCCCAGCCACAAACACAATCACAAAAGCCCCCTTTACACCCCAAAAAAAGATTCAAAACACCCAGCTTCAAGCAGGGCCCTTAGGGAGGCGGGATGTCCGGTGGAGGGGGGGAGCACTCATCAAATCTTCGACTTGACATAAGGGACTCCTTAGTTCCTCCTTCTGGTAGCCAGAAGTGCTAGCTCTTTTAGTGCTATGCATCATTAGGTGGCAAGTTAGGCTTGTTTTTAAGGCAAGAGACTTTCAGAGGTGCTTGCCATTGTCTGTCTCTGCATCACAGCCCTGGTATTCCTTGGAAGTTGCAAGGGCTTTTTTTTGGGGGGGGGCGAACTCTCAAGAGGGAAATTAAGTTTTCAATCTGTATACTGAAAACTCATGAACTTCTAAACATTTTTTAAAAATGTCAAGGAGGTTCCAGAACTCTGTTCCAGCATGTTCCTCCAGAAAAAAAGCCCCGGAGTTTGCCGTTCCAAATACTAGCCAAGGCTGACACTGCTTAGCTTCTGAGATCTGATGCGATTGGCTAGCCTGAGCTATCCAGGTCCGAGGGTCACAGAAGCAATGAAAGCCCTGCATGCAGCCCTGATGAAGATTAGGTATCCTTCTAGGTACAGAAATGCATCTTGGATATATCTACAGCATGCCCAACTTATCTGTACTGTGTGTGTAAGACTGACAGGCTGATCCAGCAATTAGTGCACATAGGTTGGATCTGGGATCTCCACCCTGTATAACCGATGTGAGTTGTAGGTTTTCCTCAGTTTCTGCAATTCACATTGCCTGATTTATATTGGACCATGAAGGGGCTACAGCAGAGCTGCAAAGCCCCCCAATGGGGGCAAGAATTCCCCACTCCAATTCTTTTGCAGGAAAAAATAAAAGGTATAATAATAAGTTATCATCTACTCACTATACTACTCACTACTTACTATAGAGTTTCCAGCAATTGCTAGAGCTACTTCTGGGTAGCTCTAGGAATCTCCAGGACCTCTATGATAATAACTTCCTGTAAGGAGGTGAGAACTTATTTTCCTTTTCAATTTTTCTCTGGGGATACTGCCCTTCCTCCCACAACCTTTCTACTGGTTGCAGTGCTTGGCAACCCTAGGCTTTCTCCCTCTACCTTTTCCATAATCTAAAATGCTTGTTTTAGTGGGGTGCTGTTTAGGGAAACCTACATGTATCAGAGGAACACTTAAATGTACCTAACAGGCCCCAATAAGAGTCTCCAAACTATTTCAGATCAGAAAAACAGGGGAGGCTGAAATTCCTTCTTCCTGACCACTGCAGTCCTGATCCAAATTGGGCAACAAGTGAGTGGGAATTGAAGAAAGCCCTGAAATTACTTCTCACTGGTGCAGGTAGTGTGCAGAGGTCTGTAGAGAAAACAAGCCCCTAAAGAGTATGTAAGAAAATGCTCTCAAAACTATTCAGGATTCACTGTATTCTGTGGCTCAAATAAATTTTGAACAAGTTTTTTTCCCTCCACTCTTCTCCCTTAGGTAGACAAATGAGTATTTCTGTGAGAAACAAAATGACTGGATATATGGTGTGCCAGACATTTTTGTAGTTGTTTATCCAAATGTGCATCCCTGTGCAGATGTTCTCTTCACTGCGTTGCCTTCAATAAAATGTGAGCTAGATAGGGTTGTCAGCCTCCAGGTGTGGCCTGGAAATCTCCCGCTTTTGCAACTGATCTCCAGCTGACAGAGGTCAGCTCCGCTGGTGAAAATGGCTGCTTTGAATGGTGAACTCTATGGCATTCTGCCATGCTGAGGCTCCTCCCCTCCCCCAGCCCCACCTTCTCCCGGATCCACCCCCAAAATCTCCAGGTATTTAGAAACCCAGACCTGGCAACCCTAGAGCTTAGAAGACGTATCTGAGTATCCTGCAATGCGAGACAATGCAGTATGGATAAGAGCACTTGGAAGATGTCCCTGCAACAGCCAGGAAATATTTGCACATCCACTGTTGTTGGTTTTGTGGAGGAAAGCAACTGGAGAAGATGATGGGAAATTTCCTGCAGATTTTTTAAACAGATAGTAGCAGCCATTTAATAAGAGTGAGGAAAGTTGCAAAAGGGCTGCAATGGCACAAGATGCAGGTTAACACATTCAGTGTATGCATTTTTAATTTGCCCAAGATACATAAAGTATGACCTTAAAACAACATCCTGCTTGATGATAGTTTTGTCTTGGTGCTCTTGCTATCAACAGTTTTCTTTTCCTTGCAGAAGACTGCACCAGCAATTTGAAAGTTACAAAGTGCAAGTAAGAAAAATAGGTGAAGAATCCCGCCGTTACCAAGGAGAGCACAAGGACGACACACCAATGTGTGGAATATGCCACAAAACAAAGTTTGCTGATGGTTGTGGCCACTTATGCTCCTACTGCCGAACAAAGTTTTGTGCCAGATGCGGAGGTCGTGTTTCCCTGCGATCAAACAATGTAAGTTTTCTACAGCAGGTCAACAAAATATTCTTTACTCAATTGCTAAAACATCTGTTTTATTTTGTTTTTGCTGTTGCATTGTGATGTGCTGTTTCTCAGGTTTCCTAGCTCTGGTTTTTGCTGTTGCATTGTGATGTGCTGTGCTGTTTCTCAGGTTTCCTAGCTCCGTCCCCTCCAGCCAACTCTCTTTTGTCATTTCATCCATTCTTCAGGTTCATCCATTCTTCCTAACTCTATTTTTTTGAACTGGGTCTGTTATTAACAGCATATAAGGGTATAAATTCAATTATATTCATTTAAGAAAAATCTTCCACAATATTGGGCTTCCCCCCTTCTCGTGGAATTCTTTATTTACAATCCTAACGTAGTACCACCCTTCTAAGACCAATGAAGTCACAGTCCTGCGTAATTAGTGGATTGGGGAGACATATTGCCTCTGTTAAAGTCTAAACTGGCCTCTCCTTGTTGGGAGAAACAACACTAGAAGTAGAGTCCTTTTGACCAGATCCGGCCATCTGGACCTCAGGCACACCTTGAAGGCTGCAACTGGAAGTGACATATTGGCTAGCTAGTGCATGGGAGGAGGTTTTATTTCTGCCAATTGCTCTTTCCTTTTCCCAGCGCTTGGATGAAGTACTTCCACAATGAACAAAATGAAAACAGAGTTAAAGCTTCCCATCAAATGATGGTACATTTCAGATAGTTATAGCTCACTAAAAACAGTCTGCCACTCAGGTAATGGTAAGATTTGGTTCTGGTTTCATTCCAGAAGTTGAAGTATTATGCTATATTTTATTTACTGCAAGTATTGGCAGTACAACTAGCTACAGTAGAAAAAAAACCCATATTTGCTCTGATTTGTTGTTGTTGTTGTTGTTCAGTCGCACAGTCGAGTCCAACTCTTTGCGACCCCATGGGCCACATCAGGCCAAGCCCTCCTGTCTTCTGCTGTCCTCCGGAGTTTGCTTAATTTCATGTTTGTCTCATCGATAGCACTGTCTAACTACCATCCCCTTCTTCTTTTACCTTCATTCTTTCCCAGCATCAGGGTCTCCTCCAGTAAGTGCTCCCTTCTCATTTGGTGGCCAAAGTATTTGAGCTTCAGCTTCAGTATCTGGCCTTCCAGAAAACAGTCAGGGTTGATTTCTTTTAGGATTGACTGAAGCAGACGTAGATGTTTTTCTGGTACTCCCTTGCTTTCTCCATAATCCAGCAAATGTTGGCAATTTGATCTCTTGTTTCTCTACCTCTTCGAAACCCAGCTTGTACTTTTGGCAGTTCTCTATTTTATGTATTTATTCATTTGATTTATACCCCACCCTCCCTGCCAAGGCAGGCTCAGGGCGGCTCTATCCACGTACTGCTGAAGCCTACCTTGTAGGATCTTGAGCATGACCTTGCTAGCGTGTGAAACGAGTGCATTGCCCTTCTTTGGGCCTGGAATGTTAACTGACGTTTTCCAATCCTGTGGCCACTGTTGTGTTTTCCAAATTTGCTGGCATGTTGAGTGCAGCACTTTAACAGCATCATCTTTTAAGACTTTGAATAACTCAGCTGGGATACGATCACCTCCACTAGCTTTGTTGTTACTAATGCTTTCTACAGCCTATTTGACGTTGCACTCCAGGATGTCTGGCTCAAGGTCAGTGATCACACCATCATGGTTGTCAAGGACATTGAGGTCCTTCTTGTATAATTCTTCTGTGTATTCTTACTATCTCTTCCTAATCTCTTCTGCTTCTGTTAGGTCCTTACCATTTTTATCCTCTATCATGGCCAGCTTTGCACGGAACATTCCCTTGATCTCTCCAATTTTCTTTTCTTTTCTTTTTTAAATTTTTTTATTATTATACACATATAAAGACAATAAATACAGACCCACCACCGAAAAACAACCACCAAACCATCAAATTAAAACGGATCTTTCCTCTGTCCCTCCTTGAATATATCTGATTTAACAAATCGTTATTTAAATAAATGCCTAGCTTACAAATTCATTTCAATCCACATATATACATTTGACCAAATTTTTAGAAGAACTGAATTCATACTTCCATGGAGTTTTTGTGTTAACTTACCTTGATTCATAGATCTTACATTCCAGGTTCCAATGAAGTATTGTTCTTTGCAGCATCAGACTTTCCTCTCACCATCAGACAGACGTCCTTTTGGCTTTGGCCCAGCCACTTCTTTCTTTCTGGGGTTACTTGTACTTGCCCTCTGCTCTTCCCCAGTAGCATATTGGACACCTTCCAACCTGAGGGGCTCATCTTCTGGCGTCATATCTTTTTGCCTTTTGTTACTGTTCATGGGGTTTTCTTGGCAAAGATACTGGAGTGGGTTACCACTTCCTTCTCCAGTGGATTACGTTTTGTCTGAGTTCTCTGCTGTGGCCTGACCGTCCTGGGTGGCCGTCCACGGCATAACCCGCAACCTCATCGAACCACGCAAGCCCCCTCAGCACATCAGGGCAGTGATCCATGAGAGAGAGAGATTTGCTCTGATACCTCTAACAATATCAGTCAGTGATAGTGCGTGCATATTTCCAATGCTGCATGTTTGATCGAAGGTCTTCCATTCCATATAACTAGGAATCACTGTGAAATCCTATTAGGTCTGCCTGTAACTCCAGAAGTTTAGCTGTCTTAGTCTGCATCAACAAAAAAGAAATCCCTGTGCTAGGATAAAGTTTAAGGTGCCTCTGTTTTAGTCTGCCTATAACTTTCAGTTCAGCAATTTAAAGTGCAATCCTATACTCAGTTTCCCTAGTCTAAGGCCATTGATATCAGTAGACTTAGATTAACTCTGCATAGGGCCATGCTCTCAGTTGAGCTAACAGATCTGATTTAGAACTACAGAAAGCTATATTTGAACCACAAGTTACTCATTTGCTCCTTGATCCAGTTACATATCAATTAAAATATGAATGACAGATGTGTCCTAAACTTGTGAAAATAAGGCAATAAGAGGGGGCTAAACTCATGGAAATAATTTTTTTTTGCTCATTTACAGAATATGTTGAAGGTCCTTTCCTGGCTATGCTACCAACATCAGGTGTTTCAAAATGAAACAGAAGTCTGCTGGCAGCTTAAGGATTAGCTTTTTTTTCTTTTTTTGAGTCAGAGCTTTGATTCATGAAAGCTCATGCTGGAATAAATGTTGTTAATCTTTAAGGTGCCAACAAACTGTTTTATTTTGCCTCACACGACACCTCTGGGTAGGCTTCCCCATGGAAGTATGATAATGAGTTAGCAGACCACGGCAACACTTTCTGTGTTTCGGAAAGACATGGAAACCAGGGAGGTGTGACTTTTGGACATTTGTCTAAAATATGAAATAATCAAAGTGCAGACATGCATTAGGTAAAGACAGACCATCTGGGTGAATGTATAATCCTGGCTGCTGCATTTGTAATCCTATGCCAGAAAATGTATTGTAACTTCTTGAAGTCAAATGCTTTCCAGTGTCAGCTCCAATAAAAGCATTACAGCAATGTTAATACTTGAGTAAAATATTTATGACTTGATCCTATTGATCTGCAAATCCCTGAATTGGAAAGTAGAGACAGCTGGCTCCTCCTCTCCTGCAGAAGAACCCCCTTACTTTCATCTGAACGAAATATGGAATTGTGCCATTTTCCTCCATAAATGGCACAGGACAAATGTGATCCTTCATAGACTTATAAGTGTGGGAGATGACTCTTGTCAGAATAATGCTGATGACTCTTCGTATTGCTAGATAAAGGACTGGCTCTAGCTTTATGTGCAGTGTTGTGGTACTGTGCTTCCAGAGGACTCCCTAAATCTGATCTAATATATTCTCACACTGAGATACCACAGATGACTTTTAGAAAATCATTGATTGAGATGCTAAGAACTCTGAGCACAAGTGAAAAGCACTTCAAATGTGTGCAGTGGCAACTTGTCAGTTTTTCCTTCTGGCTCCATGCCTTCATATCACATCAAACCTTCAAGAATATCTTTAGCACATGCTATAGGAGGAGACCATGCCCAGAACATGAAGACAGCCCTGCTGGATCAGTCTAGTGTTCCCTCTAGTCAAACACGTTTTCTCCCTTAAGCAGGGAAGCAGAGACCAAAACCTCCTGCATTATTGGCTCCTGGTGGTGGTGGAACTTGCTGTCAAGTTGTGCTTTATTTATGGAGAATCCATAGGGTTTTCAAGACTAGAGACCTTTAGAGGTATTGCCTGGCTCTGCATAGCAACCCTAGACTTCCTTGGTAGTCTCCCATCGAAGTACTAACCTGGGCTGACCCTGCTGAGCATCCGAGATCTGCTAGCCTGTGCTATCTAGGTCAAGGCATTTTTTTAATTTCATTTTACAAAATCTATATTTTGCCTTTCTGTCCTCACAAGAGCCACCAAGGTGGCTAACAAATTAAAACATACATAATAGAATCAGATTTTTAAATCATTAAAAGTATCCCCCAACACATACATCATTAAAACAATTAAAAACAGAACTAAAGGCACAAAAACAGTGATTAAGAAATAGGTCAGGAAAAGAAGAATCTCCCTGGTGAGATGGTTCCAGAGTTTTGGTGTCATGACTGAGATGACCCTCTGTCAAGTTGCCACCCAACTAATCTTAGGAGGCAGGGGAAACAGAAGCAGGGCCTCCAAAGATTACTGTAGTGGTGGTGGCAGGGCTCTAAGGGATTGCAGTCCATTAGGTATGTTGGTCTCAAACCATAGAATGCTTTGAAGGTCAAGGTCAGCACCTTAAATTGTGCCTGGAAACAAACTGGGAGACAGTGTGGATGGGTCAAGACTGGAGTGATATGGTCTCTACATATCACGTACATCCTGGCTGCAGCATCCTGTACAAATGTTGCCATGCAAGCCTATCAATGTGTTTTTATGAACTGTATGGACTGTGCAAAGGGACTGTACAACACGGTGACCTGGGAATATCTATTGAGACTGCACACCTGAAAGAGGGACACCTTCCTTTAGCGTTGTTGCTCCAGTGATAGTCCAGAGTTACCAGCCATCTTGCCTGCTGTGAGATGAAGCAGTTCCATAAGCCTGTACAAAGCCTCAGACGCCATGCCATGGAAAAAACACGAGGACAGAGAACTCCAGACGCCATTAGGAGTTTCTTCCAGCACATGTAGGCAACCCCTTCCCCCCCACCTCCAGCCCTGCAAAGCTGCACACAGCTCAGAGACACTATTCATGGTTGCTTAGCAAATAATCACTCACTCATCAACAAGCCCGGCTAGGGCCATCAAGAGAAACAACAATTTTCTGTTGTCCAACGTAATCCTTCAAGAATATCTTTAGCACATGCTACAGGAGGAGACCATGCCCAGAACATGAGGACAGCCCTGCTGGATCAGTCTAGTGTTCCCTCTAGTCAAGCACATTTTCTCCCTTAGGCAGGGAAGCAGAGACAACAGCCTCCTTCTCCATCCTGGTGGTGGAACTTGCTGTCAAGTTGTGCAATATTTATGGTGAATCCATAGGGTTTTCAAGATAAGAGACGTTCAGAGGTATTGCCTGGCTCTCCATAGCAACCCTAGACTTCCTTGGTAGTCTCCCATCGAAGTACTAACCTGGGCTGACCCTGCTGAGCATCCGAGATCTGCTAGCCTGTGCTATCTAGGTCAAGGCATTTTTTTAATTTCATTTTACAAAATCTATATTTTGCCTTTCTGTCCTCACAAGAGCCACCAAGGTGGCTAACAAATTAAAACATACATAATAGAATCAGATTTTTAAATCATTAAAAGTATCCCCCAACACATACATCATTAAAACAATTAAAAACAGAACTAAAGGCACAAAAACAGTGATTAAGAAATAGGTCAGGAAAAGTTTCCAATCGCTTCTCAAGAGCAACCCCACACAGAACACATTGCATTAAACTAATCTAGATGTAACCAGGGCATACACCACAGTGGCCAGGTGTTTTAGCCATCAAGGCTAATAGCTATCAATGTATCTATCCTCCAAGAATTTGTTTAACCTACTTTGAATAAGGACATAATAACGTGTTTTGCTGATAGCTCTTTAGATCCTTTAGGAATCAAAACTGGAGTGCTAAAACATGATACATCTATTCCATTTTGACTTCATATTTTCTATTAAAAGTCTTTCTGTATTTTTGAAATACATATGTTATGTGCATGTAGTTCTATGAATATTTTCAAGTTAAGAATGTTTGAGGATACTTTATTTCATCTGATAATTAATATTTCTGCTTGTTTTTTTTTCTTTTCTGATTTTCTCTTTTCTCTGCTTCCCTGGACGCTTTCCAAAAGGAGGACAAAGTGGTTAGAATCCATATTTCTTCATATACCATTATAATGTTGCTAAATGTGAAACCTGTGAATGTGAACCATTATGCTGAAAGTTTAGTTATTAAATAGGAAAAATTATTCTCCTGGATTGCATGTGCTGATAAAGTCTAGATAAGGAATAAAGGATATCACTAGCAAGTAAAAAATAAAAATAGTTGCTAAACAGTAATTGCATTAGAAAAACTTATTTTTATAGTAAGCTGACTGAATCATGGAAGACATACTTTTGGAGGAAGTACTCATTTATATTCATTTACTTGTATGTTAAAATTATATCTTATTACAATATGTAGGAAATTAGTGTAGTAAATTAATAGAGAGTTTGATTGGGAGGTGGAGTAAGATTTCGGTCATTGAAAGACACCTTCTTCTCTTTCTTTCCCCTTCATATGCCTTACTTTTTATATTGCCAAATCAAGTATATAGTTATTAGAATAATACTTCCATGAGTTGTATTTTATATCTTTATTTCTTAGAATCTGTATATGTATGTGTAAGCTTGTGTATTGTTTGAATGGTAAATATTCTCCAGTAAAAAATCATTATATTATATTGAATACAGTCTCTGTGTCCATTCTGGTACTTACAGTAAAAGCGGGACTTCTGTATACAACGATGTTTGCTCCCAAATTTGCCTATTACCAATTAATAATCATATTTCCCCAATATTAATTAAGAAATTAAAGCAATTTGGCTAACACCAAGTGAATTTCCAATCACTTCTCAAGAGCAGCCCCACACAGAACACATTGCATTAAACTAATCTAGATGTAACCAGGGCATACACCACAGTGGCCAAGTGTTTTAGCCATCAAGGCTAATAGATATCAATGTAGCTATCCTCCAAGAATTTGTTTAACCTTCTTTGAATAAGGACATCATAACGTGTTTTGCTGATAGTTCTTTAGATCCTTTAGGAATCAAAACTGGAGTGCTAAAACATGATACATCCATTCCATTTTGACTTCATATTTTCTATTAAAAGTCTTTCTGTATTTTTGAAATACATATGTTATGTGCATGTAGTTCTATGAATATTTTCAAGTTAAGAATGTTTGAGGATACTTTATTTCATCTGGTAATTAATATTTCTGCCTGCTTTTCTTTCTTTTCTGATTTTCTCTTTTCTCTGCTTCCCTGGACGCTTTCCAAAAGGAGGACAAAGTGGTTAGAATCCATATTTCTTCATATACCATTATAATGTTGCTAAATGTGAAACCTGTGAATGTGAACCATTATGCTGAAGGTTTAGTTATTCAATGGGAAAAATTATTCTCCTGAATTGCATGTGCTGATAAAGTCTAGATAAGGAATAAAGGATATCACTAGCAAGTAAAAAATAAAAATAGTTGCTAAACAGTAATTGCATTAGAAAAACTTATTTTTATAGTAAGCTGACTGAATCATGGAAGACATACTTTTGGAGGAAGTACTCATTTATATTCATTTACTTGTATGTTAAAATTATATCTTATTACAATATGTAGGAAATTAGTGTAGTAAATTAATAGAGAGTTTGATTGGGAGGTGGAGTAAGATTTCGGTCATTGAAAGACACCTTCTTCTCTTTCTTTCCCCTTCATATGCCTTACTTTTTATATTGCCAAATCAAGTATATAGTTATTAGAATAATACTTCCATGAGTTGTATTTTATAGTGGATTTTCCAGGAAATCCATCCCATATTCAAGATTGTTTTCCCCCTCTTAAATATACACTTTATAACATTGAGCTATTTGACCCAAAAAAAATTAGAATCCATGAAAGTGATTAATTATTCAATTATAATGCTACCCTAAACAGAGTTACACCCTTCTTAATCCATCAAAGTCAATGGATTTAGAAAGGCGTAACTCTGTTTACTATTACACCATTAACTTACTTTGGGTTATTTACATAAGATAAAGAAATGGAATCTATCAGCCATGGCTACTGTACAGCCACAAATTTGCCTGACTCAGAGATCAAGATAGGCAGCAAAAGTGTGTGTGTGTGTGGGGGGGGGGGAATTAGTCCAAGGCTCAACTCAAGGGTAAATCATGGCTCTTGAATAATGTGTGTTTGCCTGATGAATATGTTCAATGTGAAGTTCTCAGTATGCCTAATTATAATCTGCAACTTCATTGTTAGGCTTCTAATCTGTGTGCTCTTATTGTGTGATATATATGCTAAACTTGTGGCAAGCTTCAGTTCCCAGCCACCAAATCTCATTTTTTTAAAATGCTAGCTCAGTAGATTCCAAACCTTTGACCTCCTCCTTAGAGTGCTCTTTGCACATCCAGTTGCCTGCCTTCTTGAAACCCCTATGCTTACCCCCATTCCCTTCTAGTGCTTCCAAGAACAGCTGGGGAAAATGGGGGGAGGGGGGTGTACCAAAGTTGCACCAATGCAAAACATCACTTCCACTGGAAACAAGAAGTGACATCATTATATTGGGGCAATAGTCTAGGATTCATCCAAAACTTTATGGTTAAACTAGTGTCCCTGACCCTCAATTTCTCCCAAGGGGTTGTTGCCTGTCGCTGCAGCCCTAACTATGTGCCTCTCTTGGCATCTGTATGTACTAGAATAGGTATACTATGAGTTTATATATGCCATCAATCAGGCATAGGGGCCTGTTGCCTCATGCAAGTTGAAAGTGTGCCCTGGAACATGCCCAGATTCCCCTCCTATCTTGCTGGGGAAGATTGGTAAAGCTGTACTAATTGCCCAACAGGCAATTTATCATTATCTATTATTCTCTAGAGATGTAAAATTTATAGACATTTTGAAGCCATAAAGACGATTTAGCTTCAGGCTGGGAGATTTTGGCCAAAATTGAAATATATGTAATTCTTAATTTCTTATCAAACCTAAACTTATCTTACTGCTTTAATTACATACAGTGCAACACTGATAAAATGGTATTATTTGGCATATTTATGGAATTTAAAAGTATAAATGCCTTAATTTTCTATAAGCTAAATTGTAAAATACACTCAATAATAAAGAGACATCCCCGGAAGGAATAGTGGGGCAGGCTCAGCTGTGCCAGTTCATGATGTCACTTCTGGTTAAATCAGAAGTCCTGTCATTACTTATGGAGAAATGCTAGATTTTTGGCTGAATCCTTGCTGGAAGTGATGTTGCATGCTGGTGCAAGCTGGTGCACATCCCCATTTCTCCCCATTTTTTGCACACCAACTTTGGAAGCACCAGTGGGGACTGCAGGTAAGAGGCAGGAGGTCTTCTGGTATATTGGGGGACCCGGGGCTGCCTAATATCTGGCTATCAATTTATTTTCCATTCAAAAAACCCCAAAACCCTATTTCACAGAGGTTTTTTCCCAGTGCTTCCCAAAATATCTATTTTTCTCCATTACAAAAATGGATAGAAGTGTCCTTAGGGCATTTTCCCAGGTTTTTTCCACTGGCCTTCATATTGCTACTTTTTTCATCAGCTTGAAATCCTTGATGAGCCTTCCAAAGAATGTCAGGATTCCTAGCAACATAGTTTGATTAACATAGTGTTAGTCTGTCACTTTTTATACTTCCATAAGATAAAAATTATCTGCAGAATGTGTCTGAGTAGTGTCTTGGTTTCTAAGTCCAATTTATAGACTAAAGTATATTCTTTGTAAATGATAGAGATGTATCAGAAAATCCTGGTTAGAAAAGTTGAATTCTCAGTGATAGTTCTGTTTTTCATAAGTCTGGTGTTTCAATTTTGTAAAATTTGTTAATTCTAAATTAATTACTAATGGTTTATATCACAAAATTCCTAGCCATTTGTATTTTTGTGTGTGTGTAGACCAAAGTTAGAAACAGGTGTGTTATCTACATCATTCCTAAGTAACAGTGTACCTAGGTAGTTAAATGTAAGATATTTGTAGATTAATCAGGTATTTAAAATAGTGACAGAAAAAGATGTATACCTGTATAACTTGGGGCTGCAGTCTTAACCCTGTGTACCAGAAAGTAATTATTACTCAGAGAGAGATATCTTCTCAGTAAATTTAGGATTGACTCACTCACAATGGGTAGTCTGAACACTTTAATGTAAAGCAATTTAAGAATGTACTGCTGGTTTTTTAAAAAAGGGGGACAATAAGGGCAACCACTAGCGAACATATTACACACTAAAATTAGTATTCAAAAGGCTGTGTGTGTGGGGGGGGGGGTTGCATGAACAGGGGAGTTTTGGGGTCCTTCCTTCTGAGATTCACTTCTGGAAATATCTTATAAACCATAATGAAAAGTTGGGGAGGGGGGTCTGAGGGTTGTCTGGAGTGCAGCACATGTTGGAGGAGTGTAGGCAAGTTGAACCAGAGCTCACATGTATATGCAAGAACTTCCCAAGGGTCATTGGACCCAAGTATAGATATTTAGATTTTAGAAGCAGTTAATATCCATGGATTAGAGCTGTAAAAGCATTGCAGTTAAAATTAAAATTCAGTTGGGACAGGTACTTGGGCTTGTTTCATTTTATGATCAACAGCTGCTCTGTAATTTTTCCAGTGCTCTGTCTATCTTTGTAGCAATTTACTTGCTTTATTTCAGACTAATAATAAGGCCCATTGTGGAGATAAATACAACGAGCTCTAGAAAGAGGCTCTGGGAGAGTGCCCCGGGCTTGGGCACTCAGTGTCAATTTGCTGTGGCAACCTCAGCAGGGTATAATGACACAGAGTCCAGCATTTTCTCCAGGGGAACTGATCTCTGCCATCTGGAGACCAGTTGTAATTCTGAGTGATCTCCAGCCCTCACCTGGAGATTGGCAACAATGATCTCTGTTGTCTGGTATCACCTGTATCACAACTGAACTTCAGACAACAGATCTCTCCCCCCCCCCCGGAGAAAATAACTGTTTTTGAGGGTAGCCTCTATGGCATTCTATTCAGCTGAGGCCTCTCCCCTCCCCAAACTCTGGCTTCCTTGGTGGTATTTTTTTCCGTTCTGGAAAGTGTTGCTTCAGGAAACCTGGCTCGGAAGCTAA